TGTGTTCTTGAGTGGTGGAACACTCAGTTTGGGCTGATGGAATGACTTGAGGTGTTTTGGTGGAGTGTGGTTTAGAGAAATTGATTGGTACTGCTGCTAGCAAAGGTCGTTGTAAAGAGACACACAGTTAACAATGAGAAAGGTTGGTTGACATTTGACTTTGGTTAAGGAATAGTAAGGTGTAGTTGCCCTAGATAATTTGGAACCAGGCTGGAGCTAGTTTGTGGCTCTCCAGAGGCTTGTTGTATCATTGTCTGCTTAGCTTGGAGAATGTCATTGGAGACTTGTACTTGGGTATTGGCATTTAGAGCATAGGAAATTTACTTAGTGAGGGGAACATATTTGACTTGAGAAAGGTGGTGTTAATGGGGGTCACTCATGACTTTAATGGCTGTGGAAGTGGTCAGGGTGACTGCACAGGGTCTGCTTTAGTGTGGTGGGAGAGGCTAGGGTGCCTGCGGTTTGTGAGAATGGCATTTCTGAAGTGACTTTAGTGGCTTGGTCGAGACCTTCAGACGAGAGTTTGGGTATACAGTGGTGTGAGTGTCTTTCAGAGTAACTGTTTAAGGAGGGGGAGACAAGGCACGATGCCAAAAGAAGGGGCTTGGTGAGCAAGTTATGGTTTAGCAGAAGTAGTTGGCTGTATATCACTTGGAAGGAATTTAGAAAGGAAGCTGAACAGAGTGTTGTTCAGATACAGGCTAAGGCAATAGGAAGTAAGGTAACTTAAGACTTGAGTCAGTTTAGTAAGATAGGACTTAATGAGTCTGTATATGTGTTTTGTTTTGCCTGAAGACTGGGAATGATGTGGTATGTACAGCTTATAGCAGATACTTAAACTAGATGATACCTGCTGGGTGTTTTTGGAGATGAAGCTAGGACCATATCAAAGTAGAGAGGCAAAAGCTGGGAATGGTATGCTGGAGTGAGGCTTAGTTAGGCTTAGAGTTTAATTTTGTTCGACTTCTTAAATCAGTCTGGTGTTTTGAAGGTTTGTAATGGTAAGAGACAGAAAACTCTTGTGAAGGGTGTTCCCAAGGACAGTTCAAAGAGGAGCAATTGGAAGGCAGATCAAACTCATGGAGGAGTGTAAAGAATTGAGGTGATGTAGCACGTCCTAGGTGCTTTTAGGCCAGAGAGTGAGAGACAGGTTACACAGACTTCCAATTTTGCAGAGTTTTCAGAGAATTTTAACATGGAATCATGGCAAACTGTGAGGTAGAGAGAGAGATGAAAGTGGACAGTAAAGAAAGAGTTTGAGTATAAACCCTTGCCTATTTGCCATTTCAGTTCTTTTGTTTTGAAGGACTGATGGATTGAACAAGCCAAAATTAGGTTGCACAATTTGAGATTGCTTTAAATCAGGCGTGATGTAGAAGATGCACAGTTTTTAGACGAGAGCTGTCCCCGGGACAGGTCCCCAGATTAGGCATAATGCTGGAGGTTTGTGAGGAGTGCTGTCCCTGGGACAGATCCTCAGATTAGACATAAAGCTGGATGTTGGCAAGTTTGGAGGAGGAGAGCTGTCCCCAGGACAGGTCCTACCCCTCTAATGAGGTAGAAGAGCCAAGGCAATCCCTGGGCGCCTCAGGGCTTGACTGGACCTTCACCTCAGAGGGGTGGTGTTTGCAGTTGAGAATTGAAGCTGGTGTTGGATGTATTCGGAATTAAATGCCAAATTTCCCTTGATATTTGGGACCAGAGTAATAGAACAGAGAGGGGGGAAAGACAAAGCAGAGAAGGAGAAGTTTGGCCTAGTTCAGAGGGTATAAGCCAGATCAATAAAGAACCTGGGCAAGCTTTTGCTTTGCTTATGTAGCAATGAGGTCTTGAAAGCCACTCTCTCTGAGAGAGTAGCTAAGATATGGACATTATTTTTACTAGGGGAGAAGAAAATATTAGGCTTTTTGAGGAAAAGTAGGTAGAGCTTCTGTATCTGCTTAGGAGGACATAAGAAAGAAAGTGATCTGAAAGTAGATCTCAAAATCTGTGGCTTGAGAAGACTTGTAGGGGGCTTCTTAAGGTAAGTTTC